TGACAAGAGAAAGGCAGAACCAAAAAAAAAAGAAAAAGAAAAAAGGGGATGATCTTTTAATTCAGCTTGTAATTTTTTTAAATATACATTATGTGTGCTTTACTCAGGGGATTATCCTTGATATGCAAAACCCAAACTAGGAAATATTTATGATTGCATGGCATTGATATTGTTGGAAAATCTTTGTATAAAGTATGATTCTTTAACCTGTTTACTTAAGTTTCCTCTGCATGTTTTTTTGTACCGGAAAGTGTGGCAAAAAAGAGAAATTCATGTACTCAATGCAGTTTTTTATCATACGTTTCTGGCATTTAGTTTTACCTGTTTCCAGTATGAATGTTGCTATACTTTTCCACTCTGTCATCGACGTCTACTAGTGCATGTACAATTTTCAGATTGAATGCATGTTTTTCGGTATAGGATGGTTAGATGGCATTTTGATGAATTGGCATTTCAGCGTACTGTAATGTTATCTGCCTGAAAATATAGTAAATGGAACTAATCATCAGTGTCAATAAGTTGTTTGTTAGAACTTCATGTACGTAACTGTGTGCTGCTTGGCACTAAGTTTTGGCCATTGGTTTTGGAGATGTTTCTCCTAGTTGCTTAATAGCCATAGTTTATCTAAAGGTTCAACATACAGTTGTTAATCTGAGATTGTGTCATGTCTTGTTTGTTTATTATGCAGTGAAGAGGAGGCAAAGAAGAAAATTTACTCTGTTTGCACAACAACATACACTGGATTTGGTGCTTTGATTTCTGAGGAGCTCTCATACAAAGTTAAAGGTAATCAATGCCCCATGGTAATTGGAGAGATTTTGATATCAATAAAGTGTCATAGTTATTTTATGACTTGCTATGTCTTTTTGTGTTTATTTTTTCGGGTTTGGGTGAAGTTTACTTTGTTCTTGATCTTTCCCCTTTTGGAGGATCAGAGTTTGCTTTGTTCTAATAGTCTGAATTAGGAGAAGGAAAAACATCATCTTCTGTAGCAATAAAATTCAAAACAATCATATGGCAACTTCTGTACAGAAGAAAATTGAAGAAGCAAGGGATGTCACATTGTGTTATGTATTCTATTTTTCCAACCTATTCCCACAGTATCAGGATCTTGATGGGGTTTAAAAGGTCTAGTATATGCTTATCATTTGTTTACAGTCGTAATTGTAGAGTCATTGCTTGAGATATTCAATTGAATGTACACTTATGGGAATTGTGTTCAATGTTCTACATTCTTTGGAAACTGTTGGCCGGAACAATTATTTTTTGTTTATATCTCCTGACTATCTGAACATGTTATTTGCTAATGTTCCTGGCTTAATCAAACTTTTGATTTATTTTTGCTAAAGTAATTAATTTGAGATTGGACAAAAAATAGCTTGTTCTAGATTACTTTTGAGGTTTTTTTGGACTAATTCCACGTTGTGTGTCTTGAAATAGGTTTACCAGATGTTCTGTGGGTTTTGCCTGATTCATATCTTGATGTTCCCAACAAGGACTATGGAGGTTAGCAGAGTGGAAATTTAATGTTTTATGTCCTTACATTTCCTCTATTACTTTTTCATGGTAATCAAACATTTCTTGGTGCTGTTTTTGAATTTGCTATAGGGGATCTTTTTGTTGATGGAAAGGTTATTCCTAGGCCACAATATAGATTCAATGAGAGGCAACAAACCAGGAACAGGCCTCGTCCACGGTATGATAGACGACGTGAGACAATGCAGGTTGAAAGGAGAGAGCCTATTCGAAGAGAGGCCTGGTCTCCAAATCAGCAAGCAGCGCCGCAGCAGCCAACACCAATGAATGGCCAGAATGTACCTCAGAGTGGTGAGGGTGGTTATCAACCAAACCAGGGAGGGTTTCAGGGGACAAATGCCTGAAAATCATAGTTGTTGAAATATGAGATTCCTCTGAATTTAGTTAAGCTTGAGGGATGGATAGTAATTTGGCCCGTCATGTATTGTCAAGTTAGCTGGTTAGGAAAGACTGCATGTTACCTGGCATGTCAGAACTCGTGTGAATATCCATTGGGATCTTTTGTAATTGGTATTTTACTTGATTTAGTAGAATGGCCCTTGAAGTAACTGAAACTTCAGCAGGCATTTTCTTTAACTGCAACTATAAGTTCCTTTTGAACCTTGAATTCTTGTCCGATTAATAAGAGATAGAACTGGAAATGGTTACGGTTGCTGTGTTTCTCGAGAAGTTAGATGGTGATGAACAACAAACATCTAAGTTATGTAGTCAAAACGGAAAAAATGCCTCTTCTTGCCTTGTACTGACTACAAATGTGTATTTGGGGATTGAAAAGCCTTGCTGCTCATCTTGCACCTCAAGGATTTGAAGAAGAGTGTCTCGAAGTGAAGCCGGTACGAATTGCAAGGTATTCTTACCTTGCTTACTTTCCCCTTCGATGTTTTCGTTGCAAAAGTTGATAGGGAAAAATTATCTTTCAGCACATATGCTAGCTGATAGAAATACGGTTGTCTTCTTTTTGTGACTATTCAGTAATATCTTGGCTACATTGTTCAATTTCAATGCTTTAAAAACTTCAAAATAAGTGTATATTTTCATTTTTACCAAAAAAAGAAGTGGATAATTTTTGTGACTATTCTTTTTGTGACTATTCAGTAATATCTTTGCTACATTGTTCAATGCCAATGCTTTAAAAACTTCAAAATAAGTGTATATTTTCGTTTGTACCAAAAAAAGAAGTGTACAATTATGGTAATAGAGGATAACATCAACGTAAAAGCATCAAAAGAAATGTATTTCATTTAGTTGGAGGTGAGATTAATTGCCAATTTCATGTGAGAAATGATAGTGAACCCTCATTTCGCTGCGGTTAGTCAATATATCAATCTTCCTGAGAGCTTAAAGAGACTGCCCTGGAATTCCATCTAAATTTGAAAAGCGTACCTACATCTTTCTTGTAAATGATGGGTATTTCAGCTGCTCCTATTTTACTTCTAAAAAAAAAAAGAGAAAAAAAAAAAGCAATTAGTCAATCACCTAGCGAAACAATAAAGAAGCCTAATATTGAAAAACATTTCAAGGTAAAACCCTACAATTTTATTTGTTTGGATAGTGATTATTTGCCAAATTTTATTTGTTTCTATCTTCAACACATTTTTCAATCACCATTTTATCTTATATACATAACATGAAAAAGCGCTACAATAGTTTAAAAAAAATTATCCCAAATGATTTGTTATTCAAACACGCTCTTAAGATTCATCTGACATAAATGAAACTTGAGCATGGTCAAACTACAAATAAATTGATGGATTTAATCCTTAAACACATCACTTTATGACTTTCGTGTATAATGGGAATCATAATATTTAAATTGTTAAAGATCTCAAAAATAATTCCATGCAGATATTTACTAAACATTAACGGAAATTGTCATTTATGTTCAAGTTGCGTAGATGTACTCCTATAGCATACAGGAGTAACTCATTGGGGGGATTTGCAAATTTTAAAAAATTTGTCTCAGTCGCTAAATTGGTAAACTGGATCAAACATGATAAATAACTAGGAGGGTAACACCGCGCGATGCGCGGTGTAATTTTTGGACTTGCCCAGAAATGCGCAATTACTCAAATTTAGATAGTAAGTATGAAAAGTTATACAAAGGTGCACCAAAATCTTTAGGATTATGTTTTTGTAATTTTATTAAGCAGTGAAAATAAGCCACAATTTTAACTTAGTGACTAAGCGACGAAGAGTCAGTTTTTGCTTTATCTACTAATTGAATAGGATTGGCAATGTCATGAGTTTCAAAATAATATATTACCATGTAACGTCATCTTGCATATACTAACTGTATTTGCAATGATTTGATGTGCACAAAAAATATGCCACTCATGAACAAATTCAAGAGGAAGGTCAACTTTTTGAGAGCAATACTAAAATATGTCGGATAAGAAGCCTATTTAATTGTAAAATATAAAAACGACCACATAATTGCAAGAGATACAGGATTCAACACAATACGGGCTAAAAATCTACATATAATTGATAAGATAAACAAACCATTATCTCGTGTCTAAAATCTTATTAAGACAATGAATGAGTTTTGAAAAACCAAATCAAATAATTACACAATGAAAATATTTCAGATGCAAGATAAGTTTTAAGTCAACAACATACAACAAATATAACATCTTCTCTTTTTTTTTCCATAAAAGAAACTTTAAAATAATATATAATCATATCCACATACAAAAAAGATCTCTAAAATGCAGTCTCTACAGACCCACAATGAAAACTCTACCAATGAAGTTTCCTCGGCTGCAGCGATGATGCAGATGCAAAACCAAGAAAAGCAAAACTTCAGATTTTTTTTTTTTTTTTTTTTTGTCAACACAGGAGTGTCCGGGTCAGATATTTCTTTATTGATCATTTACTTTTGTTCTCAAAACAAATATATTTTATTAGTCTTGTAGTTTTGCAAACAAGTAACCTTTTAGGGAAGAAAAAAAAAACCAAATATTTAACAGTGGAGATGCTATTTGTTTACTCAATCTGATAAGTAATTCAATTCGATTTCTATTATTGTTCAAATCAAGCAAAATTCTAAAATTCGAAAGATGAAAAGCTTCTTAACCTTATTGATGGTTCCCTGAGATTCGGATGGTGTTAATTCCTGGTTAAAACTTAGAAATTATTCTAGTATGCTGACTTGACACCCTCAAAACTATTGGCTATGTACACATCAACCACGGCAGATTTGCAACTTGCATAATGAAACTGAAAGCACAAGTGATGAAGGCTCCAAATCGAATAGTTTAACATTTATCATATTCTGTATGTATACACGTTAACTAAACTCTCAAATGCTTGGATAACAAATCAACAATAGACAATGAGAAAATGAATCAATATTTGTTTATATCAAGATCACAAAGAGAAAAATTAAATATGACCACTGAAGATAAAATGATGACTGATTGAAACAATATGACCACTGGGGAAAAAGCCAACAAAATTCTAGCTGATTGAACATTAAGGCATTAGAAAGGGAAAGAAAACAAGAAGCAAGATAAAAATATGTCCATCGCTTAAGTTTCCAAAATAACACGTTACAGCAATTAGTCACACAATGAATGCTCTAAAGCCCTCAAGGCAATAACAAAAATCCATCAAGCACCTTCTTAAGCATGTTTCTACAGTCAATCAGATGGCTACATGATACTGAGCGCTTCCCGATCAGTTGTACATTTGTCTTCAATGATCTAAATATTTTGAAACAGACTGTAACACATGATATTGCAGGTTACGCCAAACCTTGATTGATTACGTCCTCTTCAAAAGATAACCCAGAACAAGGCCAAGCAAACCCACAATAATGACATACATGAAAGGGATGTCACCACGGCTTCTGTTACTCTCATGCCTCAATAGATCCTGTAAATTACACAACAAAGGTCAGAGAGATTTAGAAGGCGGAATATCCCAAGGCTTTCATCTACATAAGCTATTGACTTGGAGATATTTCTTATGAAAAATAAGATTTTTAACACCATATGCCACCGCCCCTTCTCCTACCCTACAGATACCAAATCATCATATATCAGAAGCAACGATACAGGCCAAAACACAAAACAAAGAAATCAATGAAAAATTTACAAAACAAAACAAAATGAACTCAAGACAGTGGGCATCAAATGAGCTATTTTTGAATCGACAGGACCAAGCTTTGCACACTAAAATTCACAACAAAAATCAATAGATAAAAATGGACCGATCCAGCAAGCCATCTCTAAGCCTAAGGCAAAGCCAAGGGGCAAATTTCTAAGAGGCACTGACAAATCTAAACTGCATCCGGAGTCTTTTCAAACATTAGGTTTTCCAGATTATCATACTCATAGAGTATATTATTTGCGGAATGCTCAAAAAGATCATTCCAATATCATACAGAAATCTATAGAAGTTATCATCTAAATTGCATATGTTAAATGCAGATCTTGTCAAACATCCAGGATTTCTAGACGACATAAGCAATTTTCTTCCTGTTAACTAAAATTATTGCAGAATGTTCAAAAAGTTTGTTGTAATCTTACTATCCAAAATTCTTTAACAAATCTAAGTCATTATATAATTGATGAATTCTGTTACACAAGCTTCAGCTATTTAAATTTTCCAAAGTCACCAAAATGGATATAAAAGGGTTGAAGAGTAAGGGTTCTCTGGTACATGTTTCAGAAAATGGCACATTTCCATTCAGAATTTCTCCTGATAGTACTTTATTTGGTACAATAAAGAATGCCAACAGAATATCCCAATTTAATAGGTATGGTCCTAATCATCAAATATAAGGAACTACAAGGCGTAATTGAGGAAATCATGACCGTAGAACGTTTGTTCTTGCAGGTCTTGATCATTGTCAGCTCAGGTGCAAAACATCCTCAAGAGCAACAAAACTGAACCATTACCATAATCCAGGCTAGTTACTTAGAATTCTATAGATTACAATGTAACGCCATTAATTGCATGAGATAATTTAAGAATCCCAATGAAGATCTTATTTCGATTTCTGCGATTATACTTAAGTTATCTGAGGCACAAAAAGAAAAAAGATAAATCTTCCAAAATACTACTTATCCATCCATTTTTTTTATCAAACTTAATCACAAAAAATTATAGCGAAAACAACAAAAATCAAAATACACTTATTTACTGTTATAAGCATAATAGCTCAATCTGATTTGTATAAAAACATAGCCTTTTTTAGGTTCTTGTTTCAAATTATCACCAATGACATCTCACATATAAATAAGCAATTCATAAATCCCAAAAAAAAAAACCCAGATCTTAAGTCAACTAAAAGCAATAAGAATCACATCTGCTTCCTACTATTCGTTAATTTTGACAACCAATCAGCTATAGTACAGAAACAAGAATCCCAAATATTACCATTTTACAACCCATGTACTTACAAGCGAGTAATCAATTCAAAAAACCCATCATAACCCAGAAATAAAATCCACCAAAAACCATAAATATCAGAGGATCAACAAAATTCATATAATAAAGGTATAACCTTGGTCCTTGACGTACTCAGCAAAAGTGTTGCAGTCTAAGCAGAGAGCCAGACCAGTTAATCCCAGACTCTCACACTCTTTGGTGCTAAGTTGCATTTGCACATGAGCAGACCCACCAGTAACAAAACAGAAAATATGGTCATTTCCTGCTACAGAAGTAGGATCAAGATTAGATGTATCCCAATAATAACATATTCATATAATGAAAAGAACATTTAAAGTTGCTTAGAAGAAAGAAGAATTCACAAAAAAAATTGGGGATAACAAAAACAAGAAAAGAATCTACTGAGAGAGTATAAAAGCGAGTCTTACCAATAGAAATCAATCAATAAAAATAATGTCACTGATGAAATTTCCCCAAAGGGAACAAAACACTGTACATATATGTGGAAGCAAATTCTAGAGAACTTCCTATGCATTACTTTCCAATTTTTCTTTTTTTTAAAAATGCAAAATTGGGTCCAACATCAAAGGTCAATGGTGTGAAGCACAGGGATACTATTTTTTAAACATATTTTTTCCAGTCAAAGATCGAGCTAGGTTTTTTTAGTAATTTAAAAGAGGAAAGACAGTATCTTCATAGTAGATTACATGGACATTGCTTTTGAAACTCCATTTACCTAATTCATATAACTATGTATCTCATGAATCATGAACTGATCAAAACATCTTCAAGGAAGTTAGGCATAATAATGATTTCACTTTGCATATTAAAACCACAAAACCAGAAAAATCAACTATGAAATAAAGATTTCAACATACAGCCTCCCAAATCTTGACATTATGAAGAATACCATGTAGTTTAATAACAGATTCATTATATTTTGGATGATTCTTTGGAACATGGGCCAAAAGGTCAACCTGGAAATGGCAGTCAAAGTCTCCTTGCAATGGCAGAGACATGAACAAGAACCAAGAAAATTGACAATTTCAGTTATTTTGAAAAACCCAAGCAACAACTAAACAAGAGTTGGGAAATTTGAACATAGAACATCAGCTGCTCTATCCACTAAATTTAAGACATTTCAACTGCTAAGAAATAATAACTGCAATCAATAGAGATAGATAGAACCCCGCTAAATTTCAAGGCAGTAAAGATAGGCAGTATGGTAAATATACGAGTACCCAAAATCTTAACAGGAGAATGCCTTCAAACTGAATTAACTCTTGCAATGCCCCTCCCAATTTCGTCATATTCTGAAGCAACCAATTTAACAAGCACCATTCATTTTTATTAACTCTAAAAGTGCATTTACTTTTTAAACCCCTATAGGCACACACAAAAGCCTATTTCTACTTTTTTGGGTTAAAAGAAAACAATCAGATAAAAAATTCTGAAACATAGGAGACAAAGAAATTGGGGGAATGAAGGAAAAAAGTGTAAAAGTAGGTGTATTCTAGTCCAGTGACAGCAAAAAAATTTCTTATTCGTAAAAGGTTTATGGTCAAATGCATCACCATTTCCAATGTGATTTCTAACATCAAAACTTGAACTTTCTCACCCATTCACTTATCATATCTCAAGTGATAAGTTTTGCTTCAGAAAACTTGTTGTATCACCCAAAAAATACACTACCTCATTTTTCAAACCAAACAAAAGAACTGGAGTACTTTTCTATCCAACAACAGGTACGTTAACCTCTGGAGGAAAGGAGCAAGCATTAAAAGGTAAGTTAAGGCCAGAATAGACTACTTCCCAAAACCAAAACACGACAAAGAACGAGTAAGACACTTTTACATACACCACACTATAATCCAAGGCCTAGCAGATATACCTGCAACATTGACTTCGGCCTTCCCAGCATAGAATGTCTTCGCCCTGACAACATCGAGTATAGTGACGCCAAAAAACTTTTTGTCATCATAAGTCCCTGCTTTCTTGAAGACCTCAGAAGCTATAGGGACAGTAGAGTTTACAGGATTGCTAATCATATTAACATTATAATTGTACTTTTTTGGATTGAAATATTTGATATTTCACAACATTTTGCCAAAGGATTAATAGGGAATGTTCTTGATTATTTATAAAAGGGTATGAAAAAAAGCAAACCTTTTTTGACTTGCGAAACCATCCAGAACATTATCATCCCCTCCTTCATTGCTCTCCATAAAAAAAAATCCCTAAATTACAGCAACAGCAAAAAACCCAAAACGAAAACAAAAAAAAATTGTTTCACCAAAACATAAAAAAGAGCACAATATATTACGGGGAAGTCAAATTATTCCTTCTTAAAGCAATACGAAAAAACAGGAAAAAAAACCTTAGAGATGAGAGTAAAGGCATATGAGAAAAAGAATTGAGGGTTTTAAAGATAAGGAAAAGTCATGGAAGACACTTACCTTGAATCTGGAGTCAATGTAAATATTCAACCTTTCCACCTACAACACCATAGAAAGTACAATCAAGTATTAGGAAAAAAAACCCACAAAAATCACCGATAAAGATGACAATTTTTTAGAAGGAGATGAAGAAAGTTTAAAAGGGAAAACGATCTCCATATTTTTTTTTTTTTGCTTTTATAATGGTGGATGATCCAGCGTACACATGATTCAGCTGATGAGAGGAAGAACGATTTGGGTAGATGGCGGTGCAGAAAAAAACTGGAGAGATGAAGAGAAAATAAGAGGAGGAAAAACATTTTGACATCTCTGGGAGAGAAAATCCCGAATCTTATTTTCTTGCCAAAGAAAGGAAAGAAAAATGGAAGGGGAGAGAAGCTCTGGAAGAAGACCAACATGTGACCTTTGTTTTGTCTTGCACTGTTATTTAATGTTCAATTAAAGAAGAAAGAGAAGAAGTGAAAAACAAAGAAAGGAGAAAGGAAGAAAGAACGGGAGAAGAAAGGAAGAAAGAAACGGAGCAGAAGCAAGAAACACAATGAGCGGCGCAAGCGAAGACTCTCGGAACCCTACCTATTCATTAAGGCGTGAAATCTCGATTTTGTCCTCAATTCAATTCATTAGCTCAATCAATCGGAGGACTACCACCAATAGACCAATAAAAATGTGCCACGTCAGCAATTCAACTCAATTGAAGAGAATGGCATTCACACATTTAGCTATATATGTTAATTAGCCAGCTCCTGCTCCAACTCGCGGTCCCGTCGCACTTCTTATTCCCTCCGACTTGGTTTCTCTCCAGCGGTGGCTCTGAGCTCCTTTCAGCCTTACGCGGTCCAAGCTTTTCTTTAACCTCTCTGCAAATTTCAGTTTCAATTCCAATTTTAACTCCATCAGGTATATACTGAACCCATCCGAGATCCCTTCTTTCTTTCTTTCTTTCTTTCTTCCTTTCTTTTAGTAGTTCGTTGTTTGATCTATATTTTCGGATCATCTACGTTTAGTTTTCGTTTTTTTATCTGGCTTTGATTTGATTAGCCCAAACTTCCTAAACATAATTCACATCTAGAGGAGGAAAATGAATTCAAACTACGGAAAATCCAATAGCAAATCGGGATCCTTAAATAGTTTCGAGTTCGATTTGGGTCTTGGAAAGTCGGGTTCTCGATCTCTTAGCGATCAAAAGAACCAGTCTTCTTCATATGGTTCATATTCATCAGCTCAGGCAAAGCCCAGTACGACGCCGTCCTGGACTCACCAGCCTATTAACAAACCCTCATGGACCCACCAACCTGCTGCTCCGGCTCAATCAACTCGGACGGGATCTCTATCGGGTCCCACTTCGATGGTGGGGGATATTTCTGGGAAGAGTTGGGGTTCATCTGCCCCAGCTAGCAGTTTGAATTCTGGGATTGGAGTTGTTAACAAAGATCCCAACTTGTTTGGTGATTTGCTTGGCTCGGCATTGGGTCAGAACAAGGGCAATAGTAATGTGCCTTTGAAAAATGCAGCTCCGGCGTCGAATAAGAGCTCATTTTCAATGGGGGGTATGGCGGATTCATTGCCCAAAACGGGTAATTCAACAAAAAGTAGCGGAAATTGGGGGTCTAGTGAAACTTTCGGGACTTATACGAGTGGATTTAGCAGTAACAACAGCGGTAGAGGGAATGTTAACTTGAATGGGAATGCTAGTAAAGGAACAAATCTTGGTGGTCCTTCTATGAAGAGTATGGCTGGAGGTGGAGGATTGGGTGGGATGGGTTCAAATAAGGACCCGTTTGGTTCCTTAGTTGATTTTTCGTCTAAACCGAGTGGTAATATGAAGTCAGAGAGTAAAGGAAGTGCTAGTAGTAAAGTTGGAGATGATGCATTTCAAAGTTTTCAGAGTGCTTCAAAAACAAGTGGAGTTGCACATCCTTCAGGTAGTTTTACCTCAGGAAACAACAACTCGACAGGATCAGGTGCAGGAGGTTCTTATTCGAATGTTGACGATTTTGGGTTCTTTAGTACTCCGTCCCAGAGTCAGCCAAGTAGTTTTCCTTCGGGGAACCATAATACTGCTGGGCCAGGTGCAGGAGGTTCTTTTTCGAATATTGATGATTTTGGGTTCCCTAGTAGTCAGCCTCATAGTCGACCATCTGGTCAGTCCACTGGTGTTGATAGTTTTGATGCATTGTTTACGACAACTCCAGGCAGCGGTGCTGAATTTAAAAGCCAGGATTCTTCTGGGCGCGATGACTGGGGATTCGAATCGGACTTCAATGGCCATGACACAGGTGGGACAACCGAACTTGAAGGACTTCCACCCCCACCTGCTGGTGTTAGTGCTTCAACTGCGAAAAATAAGGGATTAGACAATTACAAGCAGGGCCAGTTTGCTGACGCCATAAAATGGTTGTCTTGGACCGTCGTTCTTTTGGAGAAAGCTGGAGATGATACTGGCATCATGGACGTCTTGACATGCAGAGCTGCATGTTACAAAGAAGTTGGTGAATATAAGAAAGCTGTAGCTGATTGCACAAAGGTATATTATTTTTCTTCAAAATCATTTTTTCATGATTTTCGGTGCTTTTCCAGGTTGAATTGCTGTGCCAAAATAACTAGCCCTGTAATTGCACCTTCCCAAAATATAGCTAGTCTGAGCACTGAACTTCGTCAAGTAACTGGTGAATTTTGCGTTTTATCTGGCAGATAACTTCAAGAATTTTTATTTTATGTGAGTATAGGGGTAGCAGCTCTTGTTTCTGTGACATACTTAAATGTTGGCATGGCACTTCAACTGCTAAAGAAACTACTTGTGCAAGTTAGAGTTGAACCATCCCTCTTTCATAGACTAGCTCCCCGATATATTGGAGGACTAGTTAATTGGATCAAGAATTGTATATTTAGTCCCAAGTTGCTACAGTATGAAAACTGTTTTATAAAGAGACTTGTCAGGTATTTTTCTAGGAAGTTTTAGTCGGTCTTTCCATGACTAAATTTAAAGTTTCATACTTGATCAGCATGGATCAAACTACAGTCAAGACCTTTTAGTGAACAGTTTAGAGGTTGGTCAAGGGCTTGAACGGGGCATTGAGAGCCTTTGGAAAACGATACTGCTATTATAACACCCTTGTGTCTCACATTATTGAAATGGAAACTATTTAAGGCCCCTTTCCTTTGTATTTATTAATTATTATTGTTGCTATTGAGATCACCTTGCCTAACTAGCCGCGTGGATCCATTCTGTTTACATCTATGCATGATACCTTTTGTTGGGGATTTTCGGGGTTTTTTTTCTTTGGTTTTTTTGGGGGCGGGGGGAGGGGATGTACGAGCAAGCTACTTAGGTATAGGCTTCAGACCAGGTCAAAGTTTTGTTGAACCTTTCTTTCTACACTTTGTGCTTCCTGTATAAGTTGATGTCCCTTCACGAGATCTGTATTTGCAGTTTATGGAAATAGTATGCAGTTGGCATAGCCACTTAGAGAAAACCTGTAATTTAAGATACTATTCCTTCTTCCCCTGGTTTATGCTGACAAAAATGTAGGTGGTGTTTTCTGGGAGCATCTGCAGGAAGGTAATGAAAATCCACGGGACACTGATGCATCTTTCTGTTTGTTCTTTTTCGTTTTTTTTTTTTTGAATATTAATTGGGGCTGGTGAATAAATATGCTGGTTCTTGTTTGATCTTTTAATATCGTGCTGAGGAGTTTTTGCGGTTCACTCCAAGTAAGAGACTTTTTGGCCATTGGATTGTGCAGGCGCTAGAACAAGATGACAAAAATGTGAACATCTTGGTGCAACGTGCTCTTTTGTACGAGAGTATGGAGAAGTACAAGCTTGGAGCTGAAGACCTCAGAAGTGTTATGAGAATTGATCCTGGTAATAGGGTTGCAAGAAGTACCATTCATCGGTTAACCAAAATGGCTGACTAGACGAGCTTGCAGATGTTGTCTCTGTGGCCTTTGGTGTACAACTGCGCTTTACATTTGATAATTTCCCACTTAATGCGATTTGTTGGAGAGATTATATATGTTAGTCTGCTAAAAGATTGCTTTTGTTTGGTTGATTGGGTCTACACCCATTATAGGTGATATTTTATAGTCATGTATAACACACATGTTTCATTAGATTGAGGCTGAGATGATGAATGAGGAACAAAATATTATATTGTTTCATGGAAAATTTATGCTATACATTCATTGATATCTTCATGTAGGTTTTATACGAAAGGGTGAGTACTAAATTCCACGGTGACCGAGTAAATTGATGGTATAAGATCCTCACAGTGTTGTGTTATTGTGACTTGTGAGCAAGGGATCAGGTCTTAAGTTTCCCCTCAAAACTCCCAGGGCTTTGCCTATGGAGCATGGCACGACAACGTATTCTTGTCTTCTGCTTATGCTAAGTTTGCCAGACCCCAGATGCAATCAGAGATCAACGAAATTATTGGAGTGATAGTTGTTGGGTATTATCATATCATATGTTTTGTTTGGGAAGATTATTGCATTGGAAGCTTGTAGGGTTGTGAATGACATAACCTTGGCCTCCTCTTAAGGAACGGTTTCCCACGGATGATGTGGAACTTTTGGGCTGTTTCTTCAGAAGAAGGCATAGAAAATGTTGGGAGGCAATAACAAAAGAAGCGTTTCTTTCTGTTCGAGACAAGTCTCAGCAGTCTAACCCCCGCTCCCTAAAAGCCATTTAGTCTGATGCGCTGTGCCTCGTGAAGTTTGCCCTTTTGCGGCACTGCTACATGCAGTTGATGTCATATTATTATATTTCCCGAAGTAAACTAGCCCTTGCCCTTGGTGGGATAAGAGAAATGCGCCTTGTTGATCTGTTTTCTGAGTTCTACTAATGCATTTTTATTTTTTTTTGACAAGAAAGAAACGGAATTATTGATGGACAAATCATAATATACTTCATTATTTGTCTCCTAAATCCATTTAAACTTTAATTAATGCTTATTAGATGATAACCCGTTTGGATTGTAAGTTTTTTGAGGAAAAAAAATATACCGTGATGCATGTGAAGTAATTAAGAAATGTGTCAAGAAAATATTTGTGGAAAACGAGATGGGTCAGCCCAAAAGCAAGTTTTTTGGGGCCTTCGACTGCGTGTGGCTTTTAGGTTGGTGCCACTATGTCGACATTATTGATTTGGATATCCAATATTATTCGACATTATTCGACTCGAGAGTTTGTTTGGATATTCATATTATACCAAATAATATTTCGCTTGTATCATAAACACATTTTCCAATTCACTTTTTTATATTTTCAATCATCTTTTTATCTCACGTACATCACATCACAAAAAGTGCTACAGTAATTATTCCAAATAATATTTCAAATAACACTCTATCCAAACACATATCTCTACTCTTTTTTTCCTTTTTTGGGATATAATCTTCGATTGTCATCTTTCTTTTAATGCCTTTTTTTGGGGGGCAGAATTTTCTGATGTGATTATTATTTATATTATAGTGGCAATGCTTTCTTTCATATGGTCTAAAATCCAAAGAAAATAAACTAGTATTAGTACTATGTACCAGGAATCAACTCATTTAATATCACATTTTTATTATTTCAGAAAAAAATCTCCTAATTTTATTGTTAAAAAAGACCTCTCATAATTTGACGTATCCAAATCGGGAAGGAGGGTTGGGACCAACATCCCAC